ATGCCTTTGAGCTGTGGTGTTGGAGAAGAGTATTGAATACCATGGACTGCTAAGAAAATTAACAGGTTCATTCTGGAGAAGGTTAAACCAGGCTGCTGCTTGGAGGCAAAGATTCTGAAGCTTCATCTGACATACTTTGGACATGTTGCAAGGAGGGACTAGTCCTTGGAGAAGAATGCCATGCTTGGGAGGGTGGAAGGACAGCAGAGGAGAGTAAGACTCTCTATGAGGTGGATTGATTGGGGTCATGAGGGTAAGTGTGTCAGAGACAGTGAGAATGGCACAAGCTAGAGCAGGGTTTAAGGCTGTTGTACATAGGGTCGCTATGAGTCACAGGTGACTCGACGGCACAACATCTATATTTTACCATACATATTATTACATATGATACATATTATTACTATAACATTCCATGATATATCCTTCCAATGGTTTATCACTAGTAATAAACCATTGAAGCAACACTGATACCTTATTAACTAAATTCCTAACATATAGGCATATGTTTATGTGTTTACCTTATACATAATCAAGTTTTAGGTTGTTTCTGGAGAGAAGGCTAGTCTAGTGCGAGGTTCTCCATAATGGCCAAAAGCAGAAGACCTACCATTACTACTGATTAATATTCTCCCTAAAATCAAAGTAAACAGTATCACAGATATAAATGCATATATATTTATCCTAATATATTTATTAAAATTTTAATTTGTGAAAAGCTACTGTATAAATTTTGCATATTAGTTTGTTCACATTTTATCTTTACCTTGACTTTCACTGCTCATTTCAGGAACAGAGTTAGCATATTTGCTTCCCACATGCTGCAATGCTGCTTCAAGACCAGATATCTAAACAAAAAAATATACACAAATATGAGCTTATTTAGTAAATCACTTGATAATGTTAAAGAAAATGCAACAATTAAGTTTTGTTTGCAAAATGCAAAATGTTACTAGCTCTTGGTCTAATTTCCATATTTTTTTTTACTTTAATAAAAGAAAAACACAAGCAATTTCAATTCCATTTCATGGGTCTATCAAGTATCTATTATAAACATGTGTCCAAAATATTTTTCACAATATAGATCCATTGATTAAGAATGAGTATTGTAAATGTTGAATGATAATAATTTTGTAATTTACTTTTGTATAAATGTCTAATTATTTCACATTATTGTAATTCATCTATTTTTTCAATATAAGAAGCAAATCTAACTTGGGAAGTAAAATATGAAGCAGCTATTATTATTTCCAAAGTTTCCAATTAATTTATCCACCCACAAACACAGTCTGTTTACTAATCCTAACTAAGAACCTTTGTTTGAGGTAGCTAACTTTTGCCAGCATTTGTTATATGTGAGATTTAAATTTAAAGTTCAGCTTTAATAATCTCATTCTTCAATGCATATGATTTTACCAAAACAAAATATGTTTAATTACATACAGATACACATATTCTTTCTTACTATCGCTAAGTAGAAAAATGGGAAAAAGTACTAGATAATAAATAAGAATCTATATGCTAATACTGCACTTGCTGCGAAGGGTCAAGGACTGCAGCCTTCAGTATGGACTGAGGCTCAATGTCAAGAAGACAAAGATTCTCACCACTGGACCAATTGGCAG